CTATATGAAGGGTAGTACAGTGTGTGTCAAGAACTAGCTGTCCTAGACTATATGAAGGGTAGTACAGCGTGTGTCAAGAACTAGCTGCCCTAGACTATATGAAGGGTAGTACAGCGTGTGTCAAGAACTAGCTGCCCTAGACTATATGAAGGGTAGTACAGTGTGTGTCAAGAACTAGCTGCCCTAGACTATATGAAGGGTAGTACAGTGTGTGTCAAGAACTAGCTGCCCTAGACTATATGAAGGGGAGTACAGAGTGTGTCAAGAACTAGCTGCCCTAGACTATATGAAGGGTAGTACAGCGTGTGTCAAGAACTAGCTGCCCTAGACTATATGAAGGGTAGTACAGTGTGTGTCAAGAACTAGCTGCCCTAGACTATATGAAGGGGAGTACAGAGTGTGTCAAGAACTAGCTGCCCTAGACTATATGAAGGGTAGTACAGCGTGTGTCAAGAACTAGCTGCCCAAGACTATATGAAGGGTAGTACAGAGTGTATCAAGAACTAGCTGCCCTAGACTATATGAAGGGTAGTACAGCGTGTGTCAAGAACTAGCTGCCCTAGACTATATGAAGGGGAGTACAGAGTGTGTCAAGAACTAGCTGCCCTAGACTATATGAAGGGTAGTACAGCGTGTGTCAAGAACTAGCTGCCCTAGACTATATGAAGGGTAGTACAGTGTGTGTCAAGAACTAGCTGCCCTAGACTATATGAAGGGGAGTACAGCGTGTGTCAAGAACTAGCTGCCCTAGACTATATGAAGGGTAGTACAGTGTGTGTCAAGAACTAGCTGCCCTAGACTATATGAAGGGTAGTACAGTGTGTGTCAAGAACTAGCTGCCCTAGACTATATGAAGGGTAGTACAGTGTGTGTCAAGAACTAGCTGCACTAGACTATATGAAGGGTAGTACAGCGTGTGTCAAGAACTAGCTGCCCTAGACTATATGAAGGGTAGTACAGCGTGTGTCAAGAACTAGCTGCCCTAGACTATATGAAGGGGAGTACAGAGTGTGTCAAGAACTAGCTGCCCTAGACTATATGAAGGGGAGTACAGCGTGTGTCAAGAACTAGCTGCCCTAGACTATATGAAGGGGAGTACAGCGTGTGTCAAGAACTAGCTGCCCTAGACTATATGAAGGGGAGTACAGCGTGTGTCAAGAACTAGCTGCCCTAGACTATATGAAGGGGAGTACAGAGTGTGTCAAGAACTAGCTGCCCTAGACTATATGAAGGGTAGTACAGTGTGTGTCAAGAACTAGCTGCCCTAGACTATATGAAGGGGAGTACAGAGTGTGTCAAGAACTAGCTGCCCTAGACTATATGAAGGGTAGTACAGTGTGTGTCAAGAACTAGCTGCCCTAGACTATATGAAGGGTAGTACAGCGTGTGTCAAGAACTAGCTGCCCTAGACTATATGAAGGGGAGTACAGTGTGTGTCAAGAACTAGCTGCCCTAGACTATATGAAGGGGAGTACAGTGTGTGTCAAGAACTAGCTGCCCTAGACTATATGAAGGGTAGTACAGTGTGTGTCAAGAACTAGCTGCCCTAGACTATATGAAGGGTAGTACAGTGTGTGTCAAGAACTAGCTGCCCTAGACTATATGAAGGGTAGTACAGCGTGTGTCAAGAACTAGCTGCCCTAGACTATATGAAGGGTAGTACAGCGTGTGTCAAGAACTAGCTGCCCTAGACTATATGAAGGGTAGTACAGCGTGTGTCAAGAACTAGCTGCCCTAGACTATATGAAGGGTAGTACAGCGTGTGTCAAGAACTAGCTGCCCTAGACTATATGAAGGGTAGTACAGCGTGTGTCAAGAACTAGCTGCCCTAGACTATATGAAGGGGAGTACAGTGTGTGTCAAGAACTAGCTGCCCTAGACTATATGAAGGGGAGTACAGCGTGTGTCAAGAACTAGCTGCCCTAGACTATATGAAGGGGAGTACAGCGTGTGTCAAGAACTAGCTGCCCTAGACTATATGAAGGGTAGTACAGCGTGTGTCAAGAACTAGCTGCCCTAGACTATATGAAGGGTAGTACAGTGTGTGTCAAGAACTAGCTGCCCTAGACTATATGAAGGGTAGTACAGTGTGTGTCAAGAACTAGCTGCACTAGACTATATGAAGGGGAGTACAGAGTGTGTCAAGAACTAGCTGCCCTAGACTATATGAAGGGGAGTACAGTGTGTGTCAAGAACTAGCTGCCCTAGACTATATGAAGGGGAGTACAGTGTGTGTCAAGAACTAGCTGCCCTAGACTATATGAAGGGGAGTACAGAGTGTGTCAGGAACTAGCTACCCCTAGACTAGATGAAGGGGAAATTAATGATACGATTTGTTACAGATGAGAATTGTAGGATACTCCAAGAGGACTTTAACAAGTTGCAGAGATGGACAGAGAAATGCCTACTGGAGCTCAACACGAGCAAATGTAAAGTTATTGAACTGGGACTAGGTGAAAGAAGACCAAATGGACAGTACAAAATGAAGTGAAACTACATT